GTCGCGATACGATGGCCATCAAGAGGCGAACGTTGAAGAACAAACACACTTTCCTCCACATTAAATGACCCGACGATGAGACAAAAAAATGAGTGAGTTTGTTCTGTCTCCTGTTGTGGAGGGTAGATCGAGTCGATCAATATTCAGAATTGTTCTAACTACTTTTCAAAGCAGTGAAACTATTCTCAGCAATATTTATCAGTAGCTCACAAAAGTGTTCCTCATTTCAGTTTGTCATGAAGATTTTGTTTCTTTTTTTTGCGGGTTTCGCAATTTTCCTGATTAATTGTCAAACTTAATCGATTTATGCTGTCCCGTCATAGAGGTCCTTCATATGTTGTTGTTATGGTTACAAAACAAAACAGTTATAGTGGCGAAGAGAAACTTCTTCGTCTGTTTTCTCTTGCAGCCGTTAAAATAACTGTAGTTACCAGCCTAGAGGTCAGTTCTCTTAGTATCTGCTAGAGGAACAAAAACCACAGCGGAAAAAGGTCCATGAAGAAGAAAACATTGACCAAAATAAAAAAAGTCCTGAACCGCATATTTACATGCGTGTTCATAAACAATTAATTCTCTTGACGTTTTTCTAACCCTCAATATAATTGTCATTTGTTATCCATCTGAGGAGCAATTGGATTGTGTTAGGAATGGCTTTAGGCGACATTACGATAGATATCCGATCCCAATTTTTTTAATTTAATTTCGCCACCTGTAGAGCCAGAAAAGTGAGTTAAAAATGAAGTAAAAGTCTTGAGAGAAAACTATACTAGATATACTATTTATTAAGACATGAACCTTTCTCTGGATATTTCCGAAGAAATCGAAGATGCGAAGATCACCGCGGAAAAAACGAAGATTTCGCAAATTGCATGATTAATTCTGAAACTTAATCGATTCAGCTGTCCTTCATAGAAGTCCTTAATATGTTGCTGCTATGGTTACAAAACAAAACAGTTATAGTGGCGAGGAGAAACTTCTTCGTCTGTTTTCTCTTGCAGCCGTTAAAATAACTGTAGTTATCAGCCTGGAGGTCAGTTATCTCAGTATCTGCTAGAGGTACAAAAACCCCAGCGGAAAAAGGTCCATGAAGAAGAAAACATTGACCAAAATAAAAAAAACTCCTGAGCCGCAAGAATTATTTTCATGCGTCTTCATAAAAAACTAATTCCCTTGCTGTTTTTCTCACCCTTAATTGTCATTGTTAATCATCTGAGGAGTAATTAGGTTCTGTTAGGAATGGCTTTTCGGTGGGAGGCTGTAGGCGACATCACGATAGGTAAAAGTCTCGAGAGAAAACTGTACTAGATATACTATCTATTAAGACATGACACTCTCTATGGGTATATCCGAACAAATCGAACTGAAGACGCAAAGATCTCAAGATTGAAGCCAAGATCTGAAAATTGACCAAAAATTTGCGTGATGAAATTGATCACTCAGATATAAAACTGTCAAAACTCGTAAATAATATAGAAAATATTTGTTGATTCTGAATCTTGAACAACATTTCACTGCTATTTTGACAACGGTGTCAACAGTCCTGGTCTAGAAAACTGAACAAACAGAACGTTGCCAAAGAATACAACAGTCCTTTATTGTAAGTTTCATTAACTGT